CTTCTTTCCACTTCTTTCCACTTCGTCCTGCTCCAAACTTTTCGCTGACGATGCCTGTTTGCTTTACAGCTCAAAAGATTCGAATACGCTCCAAGATAAAGTGAACTCTGAAATTAATAAAATACATGATTGGATGACCTGTAACAAATTTACAGTGAATGTTGACAAATCAAAAGTGATGTTATTCAGCCTGAAAACTCGCCCTAGACACGCAAATATCTCAATCAGAATTAAAGGAAACTCGCTCGAAATTGTCAACTCTTACAAATATTTAGGGCTCATTATTGACAACAAATTAAAGTGGAACACCCACACTGTTGAAATACATAGGAAACTTTCAAGATTCAGTAGGTATTCTAGGAAAGCTCAGGCATTTTATACATGACGCAACCCTTCGAACCGTATACTTTGTCCTTTTCCAACATATATACAATATGCTGTAGCTGCTTGGGGGGCTGCCTCCCAAGCAAATTTGCATAAATTAAAAGTTCTTCAAAATAGAGCTGTTAGAACTCTCGCTAGAGTCCTTTTCGTTCCAACCTAAACATCCTATACTATACCATAAGACCAGGGTGCTAAAATTGTCAGACATCTACAAATTAGAGGTCTCCAAGATTATGCACCAATACCACAACAATAATCTACCCGCAGCTTTTGACAATTATTTTCTAAGTCTTAGTAATGTACATGAGCACAATACCCGCTCCTCGACTAAGTCTAATCTTTTTGTACCACGTTTTTCCCTAGGCTTAACACAAAATTCTCTAAAATACAAAGGTGTACTAATTTGGAACAGTTTTCCCTCCAGTCCACGTGACTCCACTTATGACATCTTCAAATTTAAATTTAAAAAAGTCATGCTCTTTTCTTACCTGTCACCTGCCAGCACCTAGAGTTGATGTGCTGTCAGCTTTCCTCTTTGTCATTGCCAGGATTGCTTGATCTGATCCACAGCCTCTCGAATTGATTGACTTGATACTTTTAATAATCAATTTTCTGCACTGTGGAAGAAACAATCATGTTTGTTTTTATTAGATTCTTGTTATTACTTCATATATTCCACAGTGGAATAAATTTTCATGCCTATTTTTCTATGTTACACTTTTGTCGTACTTTATATATTGCCCAGTGGAATGAATATTCACTCTTTTGTTGTTGCCTACTTTATATACTGCACAGTGAAATAAATTTTCATGCTTATTCTTGTTGAATTCGTTCTGCACCTTTGATACTGCACAGTGGAATGGATATCCATGGTTATTTCTGTCTATTTCTTAATTTACTTCATATATTGCACAGTGAAATGAATTTCCATGCTTACTTTTTTTGAATTCTTTAAGGACCGTTTAATATTATGCAGAGAAATGAATAGTCATGTCTTATATTTATTATACTTTTTATTTTGCACATGAGTTTGTTTCTATTCTTCGTGTAATCCACAGATATCTGTGGAAGTGCAGTCACACTCGAGGGTTCATGTTTTGAATTAACCAATATCTTTTTTTGCATTTGTTACCTGCAGTCAAACATAAGTGCTCTCACTTTTGTTGAAATTATACCACAATAGCCATGTGGTACATGATCTAAAATTATAAGTTATATTTCAGATCTCTTATTGCATTGTAATTGCCTTCAGTAGCCTATTTTAATAATATCTGTGCAGTCTGTTTGTGGATTTCTGCTGGATCTAACTTATGTTTGGTTCAACGATAATCTAGTATTCACCAGAATTTTGTTTACCTTTTTAAGTTGATTTCTTTTTCTGTTCATGTATGAATTTGCCACCAGCACCCAGTCATCAGGCCACTGTAGAATTCCATGAGTACCGTATAGATTTAAAAACCCCTTTCGGAACCTGATTCCAATAATATTGTTTGTTATTAATGTCTTCCGAATGAGGTACTGCCCCAAAAACAATGGCCCTTACTGCAGCTGACAAGCGAGGTTTCTTAGTCCGTTTATCCATAGTTACCTCATAATGCTATGGTTTATCACTTTGATATCTAATAAAACGCGGTTGACATGGTTACCCCGCCTGTTGTGACTGGAGTCGCTTGCTTACTTCGTTATGAACGAGACTCGGATATTCGGGTCGCCTGAATATATTCTATTTCCGTATTCTCTTAGTATTTAATGTTCGTCTTTTATTCCTTTATAAAATTTGATGTTAGACTTCCTTGTAGGTGACGCTGCTCGACAACCATTACTGGTTTATCGCGTCTTCCTTCACACTAAAATGCATTTTTTCTTTTTTTACTTAATCCTATTCGTATAATGTGTATTTTCGGCATGTGTAAAAATAAACTACTGATACTGACAAGAAAAAGCGCGGTTTCGTGGAAATTGATATCAGCGTGATGTCATAATTCGAAGATTGTTAATTAACCCGTCACATTACCGAGGTCAACTAAAAATCAGATTGATGGTTACAATAATTAATATAGTGTCATTCCAGTTCCCATATAAGTGTGATTTATACAAGAATAGCAGGACGAAATTTAATTGATGTAGTTTACTTATAAGCGCCGTTATTAAGCTTAGTTTGAAACAGACCTGCGGGCGACTCGTATGGTCTTCGCGGGCGATTCATTCCATGGATCTGAAACCCAAAATAAGGACGACTGGAAAAATTTCTGCATTGTGAACAGAAATAGCTGGCTTTCCTATGGGCTCCAGGTTATGGTCACAATTACAGACGTCACAGTGTGCAGAGCACTTACCCTTCAAGCTTCGTTTAATTTTGAATTCTTTCCCGTACACGAAAAACGTTCTTATATTTGCTCATTTTCAAATTTAGGCTAAAATAACCACCACGACAAAACCTAAGGATCGCCACATTAACATCGTTTCATGCCTATCAGTGCTTTGCTTCTTTGTGTTCCAAATAAGATTGTGTTGCTTTTATGATGCCACAATGAAGCTTTGACTATAAAACAAACAACACAAAGCTTCCTTTATGAAGTCCAAATGAGACCAAATAAGGACACACAAGCCAAATTTAAGGACGCAAGCTAAAAATAGGAACAAATCTTAGAAACAAGGACACACCCTGGTTATATCTCTGTACGATTGCAGCTATTAAAATTTTATTTATTGTCACTTGCAACATTTGAGAACTTGCAACATTATTTGAAAAAATAGACAGCTCCTATGTACGAATGCTAAGGCAAAATTCTATCTTCATGTAAAGATAGCAAAACAATATTTCAAATTTAAGGGACCAACAAGACTTGTTGGGAACGAGAATAAAAAGTTAGAAACAGAAGAATGGGAATAACTGCCTATCAACGCGTATCTGAGACGTACCATGTCTACCCTGAAAGGTATTTTGTTGGTTTTTAAATGTAGGCTAAATTGTTTCTGCTGTTTCGGATTCTCCACGCATAACCCAGTACTGCATTCAATCTGTCGCAGCCAAGATCTCCTTCGCTGAAGCCATGGCTTGGCGCAATCCCAATTTCGAAAGAAATATAAGCGACTTGGGGAATGGAATATAAGAGAGAATTGAAGAAAACGAACTATTGCGTGATTGGTATGCCATTCGCGAAATTTTTTCGTGTTTTAAGAACTTTGCAACTTCATTACTCTCCATGTTTTCATCTACATGAGCATTTGAATCTCTGTGTAATTAATTGTTTAATTTTGATCTGCACGCGGAAGAATTTTGTTAAATTTAGCCAATTCTGGCACGCGAGCCAAAAATGTTGCCCTCCCATGACCCAGAAACTTATATACTATGTCACAAACTGAGATATGTTCGAATAAACAGCATGTAGCGCTGTTGCCTTGCTGTTGGTGTCTTGCTCATTAACGGCCGCTTTCCGCTCGAGACCATATCGCGTTTCTTTCTCACCCTGTGGGGCGAATAATTGATAAATTCAGTACAATTTTCAGAAAAAACATTTCTAATAATGACCGCTGTGGTAAACACAGGATAAATAGAAGAAATAGAACATACTTGCCTAATAGAGCATTACGTTCATTTCAGACAAGAGCAGACTGGTCTTCTGAAGTGAAACAAATGCAATATATGGAAGAGAGCTCGTGAACACACGGGTCAAGCATTGATAACTTTGGTCTATCCTTGGTTTGAGCAATGAGCATATACGATAAGTGGAAACGTCCAAATATTTGCTCATTAATCCATTGTACCCTGCATTTTTACGTCGTCCAGCTAAATGATTCGTTTCATATGGAGAAAGCATACAAATATTTGGAAGTTTCCACTCATTGTATATATGCTCATTGGTTTGAGATGAAAAAAATTTATAAATTTTTCCAATCAAAAAGTATTTCAGCGCGTTATCCACGAGTGTGCTTTACAATACATTATTACATTGCTTCATCGAATAATAAAATGCGACACAAACGAATTAGGCGGACGTAGGCAAACTTCTTCCCCCTTGAAATCCGTGTCCAGCATATTTGATTAGGGAATGTTCGAACATTACATTTCAGGCCGTATTTCCGCTATTATGTATTGTAATTGTTGCAGCTTGTCCTCCAGAACAACCTCCTTGTTACTGAATTAATCGGCAATGAGTTTACGGCGATGTGACAGGTAAATTGACTAGCGCATTTCACGTGGAAATGGTTTATAATATATAATAAATTTGGTAGTTTTCAGTAGGGGTTCGAAAAACGGCCCCAGGAATAAAGCAGACGCAGCTAACATATTATTTTAATTTTGCGAGCTCAAGATCAAGAAATAACCGGACTAGGAATCAAGGCGTGAATTCGTCTACCACATGCGTAGATCTAATGAAAGTTAAATCTGAAAACATTAGAAAGTCCTTTTCAGTTCTTAAAGGATATAATTTGTAAAATTTTTGATCCAGAATTACGCTTCTCCGTAAATGCGTTTTTACTTTTTGTCACGATAACACATTTTTAAAGTGCAATCTACTTTTCCAAGCACAACAGCAATAACTTCCCACTTTAAACACAAAGCAATCCTCCAAAATAACAATGAATTTGAGAAAACAAGATAAATAAATTGATTCATTTGTTTATTTAATAAAGTTCTGTCACAAACCAAGGCTTGAACATTCGGAATGCACTGAACTATGTGATTAAAATATAGAGTCATCACGTGGCTGATTTTCAAAGTAACTAAAAACCGCGTTTGATTTCAAACTTTTTATTAACAAATTAAGGATGATAAATGAAGAATTGAACTCAGCAGCATTATATGAATATTGATTGCATATATAATATAAATTATACAGTGATGTTAAAGATAAATATTAATATACATTAATGAACATTGGGTCAAAGAGGGCATCTACTAATCTATAAATTACAATTTATTCAGAGAGTTTAGTTATATGTGACCGGTGAATAAGTATGATTGAAGAATTGGCTTGAAGAATTAGCACATAGAACAATATTTCACACCCAGATAATATTCAATAACACAAAAAATGAATGGGAATTCTATTAGCCTACTAGTTTTACTCCTACTAGTTTTACTCCAACTTTCTTCTCGTATAAATAATACAAACAATTTGTGTGTTAAATACAATCAAACCATTTAAAATTAATTTTGTCCTCATCAGTTGTAAACATATCTATGTCCAAAGAGGTGATGATGCTGGACAATGTCACATGTGAATTATATTTAAGAAAACTATATAAATTAATTACAGTAATTAATTAATGCAGGAACTCATTATAGCAAATATACAAAATTCAATCAGTGGTTTCACAAGCACCTATGTCAATTATATTAACAACTACTAGTGTCTGTTAATGGTAACTAACTATTCTCTGTCATATACAGTCAAATCACTTCAATTTAATCTTGACTGCTTCGAGTATCCACAGTTGCATGTTCTTCATGTCAATCACCTCCCATTGATTCTTTTTGAAATCAAACTTCTCCATGCTTCCCGGTGAACTGAAAGATACAGAGAAAAGTGATGTGTGAAAAGGTTGTTAGGCTACTCATTGAAAGAAGATTTCAATTTCTGTGGTTGATTCGACCTTATTTGATAAAAACTACAAATAACGAGATGCCGCGGATGAATACCTCCTAGTCAGCAATATGAATATACTGCTTCTTTTATCTAGCTAAGGTTATGAATATTTTCACAAAAAAAAAATTGCAAGATTTCTGTTATCATCGACGATACAAATATAGATACTGGCTAGATTGGGTACACGCTTGTACTGATGGATACAGGGAAACAATATTTCTTTATTAATAAGTATTTCGGAACAAAATCTCCAGAAACGTTAGACACTAATGCCTACCATGTTGATAATAAATGAAGCACAACCGGTGTTAGCAAAACGATGTAATTTGCCGACGTTTCGAATTTCTATACAGAAAAACTTGCGCTAGTTTGTTTATTTATACATATTATCTTATCATCTTCCTTTTAGATTAGAGTTGACGCCATGATAATTTTTACATATTTTTCTTTTTCTTGCTCTATATATATCCACTTGTGTCCTTTCCATATCATGCCCTGATGAAGTTTTTTTGTATAGAAATTCGAAACGTCGGCAAATGACATCGTTTTGCTAACACCGGTTGTGCTTCATTTATTATCAACATGAGTTTACCTGGTGGCAATCACGCACTATAATGCCTACCATGTTGTAATAAATGTTAATAACTTTACCTGTTAATTCCTCCAAATGCGTAAATATTTGAATCAATAACAAAAGCACCGGGCCAGCCACGTTTATTTAACATGGGAGTTACCGTGGACCACACGTTTGTTGAAATATCATATCGTTCAACTGTTGACAAGTAATCGTTTGCCTTTCCACCTGGATGATTAAAAAGGTTTGTTGAAATCTGCTTGCAATTTTGCCTAACGACGAAAAATAATATTTGTGACCTAATTTATATCTTCACTCAAGTAAACCATAAGGGAATAAATTACTAAAAAAGAGATGATGGACTAACATGGCAGGTATCAAATACAAGGCAATACATTTATTGCGTAAAATACAAACCCCCAGACCGAGAATTTTGAAACTCTATCTGGTATCTCTGAATATCACATACGTCTTTACAGCAATTTCTAGTTAGAAGGGCGCAAATGTATTTATGAACTTGCACAGTAATTCTAGTGACCTTTGCAATTGTGTGAACATATAGGTGTACAATCATGATTCAATATAATTCCGTATTCCTACAGGAAAGCATGAATGGAATATTGATAGTCAATGACAATCGGGTGAAAAGCTTAAATATGTTGGCATTGCATTTGATATCAAGAAACCATTGAAATCTTTTGGATAATTGTAATTGTGTAAAAATGGTTAAAACTATATCACTTAAAACATATCTTTAGCAAAAAATTGAGATATGACACTCTTGAGTCCTCATTTTTATTAACAAGCACATACCTAGGACATATATTTTCCCGTCATTTTCAACAGCTGCGACAAATTCCTTTGCTTCATTCATGGATGCAACAAATGACCAAGTTGATGATGTTGGGTCAAATCTTTCTACTCGGTTGGTCGAACGACGTGATACTACTCCACCAATGCTGTATATACAACCTGGAATTATACAAGGATTATTATTTTCAAGTTTTTTCTGCATTCTAATATTTAATGAATATTTGAACAACTTATCAAGTCAATATCTGTTGTTGCCAATATCTGGTGGTCTTTGAGTATATTACCCTTGATTTAGATTCCATTTATTACCCGCTTACAAGTTTGTGTGAAGTTGGTTATATGGCCCTTCGATAAAAAAATGTTGTATACCTCTAGTACAAGGGTTCTCAACCTGGGGTTCGCGAACACCCAGGGGTTCACGAGAAGATTTCCAGAGGTACTTGGAAGGCAGTCGAGTTTTTGTGTGTTGTTGTTTTTATTATCCTTTATTACTATCAGAGGAAAAAGCATGTCAATTGAAACGTAGATTTTCACTGATCTTGCGTTATTGTGATTGTGACGCAACAATGTGGAATTCTTGGCTTTGCAGGCAAACTGAAATCTCTAAGACAGCGTGCAACGAGCATTAGAGAAAGTGATTTTGCCTTTTAAAACTTGGAACGATTTTCGGAATTCATTAGTTAGGCAGACGACAAGGGCAATATTATCAACGAAGAGATTTAATTTAGTTACATATGGTTAATAAATTGTCGTTGCAACAAATTGTTATTGAATTTATCACAACTTTGTTCGATGCCTGATTACGGGGGTTCGCGTTGCTTGCTTCGTGACTCGGGGGGTACTTGACAGAAAAAAGGTTGAGAACCCTTGAGTCTAGTACCTCTAGTTTAAACTATTCCATTTATCACCCGCTTGTGCACCTTCCTGTTTTGATCAAGTGAGTTCTACTTAAATGAAGTTTATTTATTAGAAAACTCTTTCTAACCTCGAGCACCCAGTGCTGTTGAATTAGTGTTGTTGAGATTTTTGTTTTTTACTTTTTCCCATTTGTTGCTTGATGGATCGAACTTTTCAACTGATTTTGCGAAACTATTGAGAGCACCAACAACATAGATGTTTCCTGTAAACAATATATATTTCAGACAATGGCAGAAAGCAAACAGTTCTTATGGTATTCATTCAACTATAAATCATGTAATAATACTAGATAACAAAATAGCACTGGATGACATAACTTACAAAATAATTCTCCATGAGAAACAAACACGAAACTACTAATCTTAAAACAGGAGTATTAGTGTAATCTATCATAAACTAAAGTCCCTTCTAGAAATAAGCAAAGTATTTTTACAGTTATTTGAATAGTGGAAATTCCCCACCGCATTGCTGAATTACAAATTTAAGCAAAATTCGGAATGTCCCGAACATTGAATTTGATTTGACACCGAATAGGTATCCTTTCTAAACAATGAAATTTGAGAATCTAGACAATAAATTTTTTTGCTTCAAACTGTTCAAAATTCATGTGATCCATGAATACTGATATGCTGAATTAGGTCTTGCCTTATACACTCAATAATAGTAAATAGATGAAATACAAAAAAAAGGTATGGAACAACATTAAATAATTGTTAACCTGACAGTGCCGGAAGCACTAAAAAAATACCTGTTGAGAATTAATGAGATACGAAGTGCTTCGTAAGGGTCAATCATTATTATTAAATTTAACTACTATAATTTACATTTAAGTATGGCACAGCGTGTTTATTGTGTGTTATCAAGACTCGTAAAATACAGTTGCTGTAACCATGATTTTATACTTCTAAAGAGTCTTCTTCTATCACATGATTATATCGTCGACTATAAACCACAGACACTCGACCAAACGTGTGTCGATATAGATTCTAGGAAGATAGGATCGTCCACTTGGATCCCAAAAACAAATGTAACGAAGTGCCTTGTTTTGCGAAATAACTTTGTATTTTCGGAGATCGCGCATCATGGAAGTATTCAAATTATGCGCAAATAATTTTATAACATTTCATACCTACTGGACTTTTGGTTTACATCATTTTTTTCGGATGAAATCGCGGGTCGCGCAAATTATTTTAATGGATGTAAAATGAAGATTTTGAAGCGAGAGAAAACGCTGCGAGCAGAATTTCGTGTCACTGTAATCATCGGCACTAAAATGTTATAGTTACAATAAAATATCAATTACAGCTAAAATATTACAAAATGAAATTACAGCTGAACTAAATTTAGATACTAACTTATTATTCTTAAAAAAAAATTTTCATTAAATTTTAGACAGACCAGTACTTAGAATCTTTGAATCAAACTCTTACCAGACAAAACAGCAACGCGAGGACAAAACCCGTGGTCATACATCATATCATTCATTCTCTCCCAAATAGCTTGATATTGATATTTTAGCCGATGAACAGATTGATCATGCACGAGAACATAAATGTAGTCATCGACAGGCACAGCAGAAAAGCCAGCTACTAATCCAGGCATGTTCTGCAAAATAGCGATAAACAAGAATAAAATGACCAAATTTGTTTCTCAAATGAAGGTGCCGGTTGTTTGCTGGGAATGCCTCAATGATACGAGGTCTACTCAAAAAAGGTATTATGAAGCCTGGCTTGTGTATATGTCAATGATCCTTTGCAAATAAAATTAATAGCTGATTAGGACACAATAGAATACCGAATAGTCAAATACCAAATATTTTCGATACACAACAACATAACGTCGGAGGTTGATATTTTCAATCCTTTTGGAAATTAATTGAAATATTGACAAGTTGGTAACAAAGCGATTTTCTACTGGGTAATTTCATTATAATCACTGATGGTTTTTGTCATCACGACTGTTTCGGCTGCCGGCATCCTCATATTGCTTAACTATATTATTGCCCACTCTCTTTTTTCATTAGTATTAATTCTTACGGGTTTTTATGTTACCAGTGCAACAGTGCATTCACATCGTCCACAGAAGGATACATACTATTTTTATGTTCATCCAGGGAGCAAAAATACAATAGGAAAATCAGCCATGACCATGGAAATGGCTGACCAACTACATTGCACTTTCACAGGAGTGGGAACAATATAATAACTACCACATCCACGTCGTGAAACCACATCGAAGCTTTGGCAGTGGTTCCCAACCTTTTCCCAAGCGATACAAATTTTAAAAAATAAATAAATTTCGTTATTATTAAGTCCAGCGACCAAAGAATATGCTCACATACTAAACGACAAGCAGTGCTTTTATGGCCGTAATATTACTGTATATTACTATCATCATTACACAACAAAACTCATCAAGTTGAGAAAGCTGCGCCGGTTTGCCATCAACGAGTTTTTGAGATAGTATTTTTGAGCAAGTATTCACACTGTGATACTCCACATGTATACAATTGCTATTGAGTAAAACTTCAATGCAAAAAATATAAAAGAAATAATAAAATTTAAGTTTTAGAGGAATTAACAAGCGCCCAAGAAAATTTTCGGGCGAACCAGCACAGTGAGCCAACAATAAATAGGTGCAGTGCTTATATAACGCACCAACCTGCATTTTTGTCAAAGTATTATTCCGAGGGTCAAAGCATTGAAGACTCATTGAGTTTTTATCGAACACTGCAACTGTAAGAAATAAACCTTGTATCAGAAAGGAAAAGCTAAGACAACAAATTATAGAATCGTTCGAGTTAGAACCAATCCACAATTGGGTAAGTTTCTCAATTTTTAAGATGTTAAATGGTATTTTATATCAGTGTTCTTCAACCTCTTTTTTATCGTCGTATACCTTTTACAATTTTTCAAGAACTTTGTGTACCTTACAAATACCAATGTTTATTTGAGGCTTTAATAAACATTAAATTTTAAGCACATATTGTACTGCAATATCATCATGCAATCCAATAGGCTACTGTCCGCAAGTGATAAATTTGACTGGCGGCCTTAGCGTCAGCGGGAATGATGTTCAACGTCAATCAAACAAAGTGCATGGAAGCCGAAATCACCCACCCGGACAAGTGACCGCATTATCTATATAATTTGTGATGTAACAATGTGTTCACGTTGGTTCTCTGCATAAATGACATTTTATATTTCATGTGCGCGGCGTTCGCATTGTTGTCTCCGCTTGAATATTTTATAATTTATTATATTAGAGTTATTATATTATAGTTGACTTAGGCTGTACATCCTTCATATACCCTTTATCAGTTGTATATCCAACTTATGGTCCGGTATACACTCGGGTATACCGTATACCCGGTTCAAGAGCACTGTTCTATATTTCTTCATCTTAATTCAACTTACTTGCTTCCCTTCCTTCTTGTTTTATATTCTCAGCATCTGATGTACCAACTTTTAAGCTATCCATCACAGAGATGCAGAGGGCTTGATAGCATTCAGAACATGACTTTACCATAGGCTGAAACAACCAATGTGCGGTATGTTATTTCAAAGAACGTAGAATGATGAAAGAAAAGGAAATTGATCTTACGGGAATAGCAGGAATGCGGAGTCTGATAAAAAATTACTCAGACCTACGGATTCAAAGAAATTTGTAGTCTTAAGCTCTGAACCTCGAGAAAACCATCTTTGGCACACAAGAGTCTTTTGGCTGAAATTCCGACTCCAATGAAATTGAAAGTTGACTCAGCTCCGAGTTTGAAAATACTGGGTGCAATATTGCAAACTTCGATCCCACAGCTATGTTCATTAGTCAGATAAAATCCGAATTACATATTCAAAACCATTAGCATGTTGCAAAAATGAATGGCTCACTATCATCAATTCAAAATAACCGACCTCGTTTTCAACAAGCAATCTTCTATAAGTCACTGGTACGTTATGCAAATCAATGTAGTTGTTCAATCTCTTCAGAAGTTTCGTGCGATTCCTTTGCTCATGTTTTATCCAAGATATCAACGCCTTTAGCTTAACACTCTCTGGCGCCTGGAAAGAATATGTGAATAAAAGGTAATATTTCAATAGGTGTACAGAACATGCAAATATTCAATATAGAATACTCAGTTGTATACATACATTTATAGAAAAACGCTCTAAACTAAGATGATTAAATAATAATTGAATAAAAGCAAGTGGTTAGCGGGCTAAACCAGACATTTAAGAGTGAGGACATATTTGTTCAGTCCAATCCTGTTATCTTACGTAAGTGAGAAATAAGGTAGGTTAAAAAATACAGTAAAACAGTGCGCCCTTTCAAGCCAGGTGGTTCCTTACGATTGAATGACTACTTCACGGCTGTTCCATGGAGAGTTTATTTCGGGCAGCCTGAACTTAAAGCCTTACCCCAATGAACTGAGCAACTTGTACCATGAGAAATTAACTTTGACCGGCATAAACCTAAAACCTTGATCCGTTGTATGAGTGGGTACTAAAGTCTTGTTCGGAACGAAGGAGTGAAACAAACCTAACAAAACACTACGAATACCTTGTTTTCATGTGATTTGATCAATCTGACAAAATCCTTTTCCTTCATTTCCTTGAACTCATCAAGAACAGTAATTTCTTCAAATTTATCCAGCATGAACTTCTCGCATTTTCCCATTAATCCTTCACAATTGTACATGTACAGAATGATTCTGCAGATGATTCAAGATTTTTTCCAAGTGAATCAACGATGCCTTCACAGACATCTGTTATAAAACAAACATGGCGTTTTGTGTGTATTTATACATTTATTTATGAATAAAAAATATTCATTTTGATTCGTTCCTAACAAAATTTCCGCCCCCCAGACAAAAACTTGTCATTTGGAAGATATTTTTGAGAAAACATAACTTTTGAGCAATGCGTCCTTAATTAACAAGATTAATGAAATCAGAAACCAACAGGTTTTCTTTCAGTAAGAAACTGGCCGGGATAACTGTGGAAATGCAGGCCCTTGCAAACCGAATGGCTCATTTGTAGAGATTTTGTCTAGTTAATTTGAATCAAAGAGGATTGAGTAAACCTCGGTGCATTCTAAAAGAGATCTATTTTTATATCATCACCTTTCAACTGTAGTAATTCAGCCACGTACATCAAAGATTCAGCATTTTCATCAGTAGTAGACAATTCACCAGTGTAAATGTATTCTATGCATTGTTGCAAGGATAATGGATCAACTTCTCTCATTTCCACTTTACCAGACGCTGTCTCAGCATTCTGAAGTGTGATAATACCAACGATTAAAATACATTAACAAGGGTAACAGTACTAACTGTGAGAGAGAGTTAACTCAAACAGTTTATGGCTGAGATATCACATAAACATGAATACACACAACTTACATTATGAGCCAGCATTGCTCTGAAATAATCAGATCCTACAGATATAATATTCATATGAACTGGGATTTCTTCAGAGCCAGCTATGATCATGAAATCACAATGATCTCGAGTCTCCTTTCTGCTTCTGGAAAATTATATTTCAAATCATAATAGTGCTAAATGTGTTAGCTATTCTGCACAGAAAATCCTTGTGTGAATTTGCATGTTTTATTACTAGTCTGGGAAGCTGATTTGAAATTGCTATGGTTCTAGGACCTAGGTGTATTTCTGGAGCTACAGTTCAATTCAGCTACATTCAAACTGTGACTCCAGCTTGTGCGCTTCATTTTTCACTTCATTTTTGGGCTTCAAAGTCATTGATTTTTTTTTGGTTTGACTACTACTATGACAAATCAACTCAGATGCAGGTATACCGATTGTAAAGTAAACTGTTTTAACTATACATACTGAATAGAAACTTTTGATTCCATGTAAGAAATTAAATATTGACAAAAATATGTGATGAATAAGGATAGATTTGATTATTTTTATAAGGTATAAGAAATTTATAAATCTTGAAATATAATTAGGTGGTTAGTGGCTGGAGTCACTAATATTCTGGTAGCTCAGATTCCAGCTCCATTTCTCACCTCCACCCACAACAAAACTGTGGTTAGCTTTCCAGTCCCGATTGTCGGGGTATGATTATGTGTACATGATCATAGATTTAGAACAAGTGATATCTAACCGTCGCCAATTTTGACTATACAACTAGAGGGATACCATTCTTCTGGTAGTCAAACGACTCAATACTCAAACAACTCGGTAGGCGACCAGAATTTCTAGTTAAAATAGCTGCAGCGATTAAGGGAAATTCGGTGCTCGAACAATAGAGTGTCCTGTCGAGTGAGATGACGTCACCCAAACCAGTGGTCGGTAACAGGCCTAGTCAAAATAGTTATAGCCACCTGTAGTGGCTAACTGTAGTTATTTTGTAAACATGAGTTTGAGAATGAAACCTGACGAATTCAAACAAATTTTTAACTGGATGTGGGAGGGAAAATACCACAATTCATTCGTGATATGTCTGCAAGTTGTGTAGGTGAAAAAACAATTGAATTTCAAACGGCATTTTAGAATCTTGAAAGCATTTTCCAAAGTTAAGATTTTGCATTGAAAATCTATAGATGTTCGAAAGCACGTACATTTGCGAAAGCATTTTTTTCCATAATGAAGAGTTTTCAATCATGCAATATATATATGTAGCAATTAATTACTGCCGACATGAAAGAATTTAAATCAGTGCCAACTTTGAATACCGTACACTCATAAGTTTCTTTGAGTGAATGGCAGAAACCAGAATTTCAGTTTATTTTTGGCTTGCGAGGCAGGTAAATAAAATCAAGTAAAGGAAGCTTGTCTCAGTGTATGAAGGACTTTGCATACAATAAATAATGGAATAACTGTTATCTACAAATAGGGCTGTCTGAAATCGAATACCGTATATCCCCGCATATACGTGGACCGCGCACATAAGCCAAAAAACAACGATGTTATAAATATTCGCATATAAGCCGACTCTACGATTCGTAACACGCCGTACGAACCTATCACAGTCAAGGATATCAAAATATTCGAATACTTTTTGGCTGATTTTTGAATTATAGCAACTTTACGTCCTCATCACGGTGTTTCGTTGTCAAGAGAAATATTTAAACGAGTTTTAGCGCTTTGCCACGTATTGTAATGACGACGATGAATAAAATCGGCACTTTGATTGTGTTTATCTTCTGTGCGACCTTGCGCCTCATATTGTTGCGACACATTTGCATGGTTGCGTGGTGGAAATTGCCGCCATTTCATTCCAAGGCTTTTTATTTTACATTTATTTCCATTACGTGCAAAAAGGAAAATTATATTATTATTAAAAGTTGTCTCTCTGTCCGTAGAATGTAATAGGCCATTTCATGTCAGGTCATGACTAAAAAGATATTATCGGTAACAACATTTAAAGTGTGCTTTTTAATGTTTACACAGGAGAAAACGCTAGTTATTTCGAGTTGTATCTCTGTCCGTAGAACGTAATAAGCCATTTCATGTATGATCATGACCTAAAAGTTATTATAGGTAATGTGAATATTTAGATCTTTACAGAGATAAGAGTTTTTATCAGTGGCACTAAAAAGATAACATATCTGTAAAGATGATTATTAAAAGTCGAGTGGCGTTACCGCGATAGCGCTTCAAATAATTTATGACTAGAGATGGGCAATAAAGAATACCGAATCCAGAGGATTCGATAACAGGATTCGGTTTCCGCCTCTCCAGCACCATGCATCAATTTTTGCATTTCGGGTTTCTAATTATCAATTAAAGACGAGCGTTTTTTCTCGCGTGAAAATCTCTCTCGTTTAATTAGACTTGCGTCTGCTCGGAAAGAACCTGTATAATCGGTAAACTTCAAACACTGTAATCTCAATCGGCGTATTCTGGACAAGAAGTCGGTGAAGTACACCTCACGGCGAAGACTTGTTATTGCACCATTTTTTGCGGTTTTTTTTGCGTTTTGCCGTGGGTCAATTTTTGTATTTCGGGTTTCTAATTATCAATTAAAGACAAGCGTTCTTTCTCGCGTGGAAATTTCTCTCGGCTAATTAAACTTGCCGAATCGCAAAGAACCCGTAAAATCGGTAAACATCAAACACTGTAATCTCAATCGGCGTATTCTGGACAAGAAGTCTGAAGTACACCTTACGGCGAAGACTCGTTATTGCACCATTTTTGCGTTTTCCTGCTTTGCTATCTAGCTAGGGTTTAATAATAATAATTATTTGTGCCGACTTACTGGCGATATTCCGATAATCTGATTGCAACAATCTTCAATTGTTTACAGGCGTGCCTTGCTTCATTTTACATTACTGTAAATGATTTTCGGCGATCAGCGAGTTTTCCCCAAAAAATGATGCATGTAAACCAAAAGCCAGGCGTGAAATGTTATGACATCACTTGCGATTAATTTACTTTTATTACTCCAGTTTCCGAAATACAAAGTTATATCGCAAAACACGACGATCTGTCGCATTTAAATTTCACCTTCAAAATATTACATATTTTTCGGTCCGTTTCTATCGTTCAAGATAGACGCACGTTTGATCGAGTGTCTGTAATATTTTAGTCGCGGATAAATTTAAAAAATGATGCCGCATCTGGCGAAGATAGTTGAGTATTGAGTGTGAGTAGGGCCAAGTCTGGGTAGATAATGATATTTAACGTCAATAATAGAAAATGAATTAGTCTTCAGATGTTATTACCTAATGACTAACTAAGAAATCGGCGTTTACGGTAACTTTACCATGGCTGCATCGGTTGCAGTGGACATACGCTGGACCTGCATCTAATTAATTCTCAGCGGGTGTGTTTTAGTACACTCGGCAACATTAATAATGATTAATGCCGTTTCTTATCTATTTTTATATTTAACCGCTTACTATCAAAGTGTGTAACGCGCATCTTAATTTAGCATTTTCATATCAGTATTTAGAGATGACATACAAGCAAAAATATAAAATATTCTTAGATTTTAATGTCCTGGGAAATGCCTGTTTTAGTATCAAATAAAATCAATGTTAAGGATATTTCCAAATAAATAACACATTTATGGTAATACATTTACAATTTTTGAACATCTAAATCTAGCAATGTGGGAAAACTCCCACTATTTGAATAAATATAAAAATAGAATAGGATTCGGTATATTCTGGATTCGATGAAACTATTCTAGAATAGTAAATTATTCTACATTGCCCATTCCTACTTGAAATGTACGCGAAATATTGCATTCTGAACAAAGTTTAAATTAAATTTCAATCAAAATTAAATATTATCTAGACATCGGTAGCTGATTCTTTATCCAATCATGCCAGGGCCAGGGATTGGCCATTTCCGAATACTAAACTATTCCGAATACATTCTAAAATAATGTTTCGAATCTGGAATTCCGAATACATTCTAAAATCGAAAATAACACATTTTTTTTAAGTTTATTAAAATCCAGTTAAAATAGGGAATAAGCTTAATAGTAATACCAGAATAAAGCCACAAACCAACAGTATATGTACACAAAGTAATTGATAGTTTATAGCTATCAATAAAAATAATAGCATCTTGTGACACAGTCCGTTTATTAAAATTGTACACTTAGTACAAATGACCATATGAAAAGATAGCCAAAGAGTTGTTTGATGCTTTCTATCATTGATAATAGTCAAGTTTATTGACAAAAATGCTATTTGTATTCAGATGATTGTGTATATTTTCTGAGAGTAAT